GTAAGATTATGAGCTTTAATAAGTAAAATTATCCCAGCTACAATGACAGACAACAAATATTACATTTATAGTATTACAACTAAATCCGTTTTTGATGCCGCCACCGCAGTTTGTCCTTCATGAGCCTTCGTAGACAAGATGGAGGCTGCCTGTGTGGTGACCCGCGACCATGGAGATATAAACAGCTTTTTATAAGGTAAAAATAATAAAACAACGTCTTTGTCTGCAATGATTAGATATGTTTTTTTTATTATTGTCATTAGTGATTATCTCAATTTCGGCTAAAAGAATTGCCAAAATCCTACACACTGTGCCTTTAAGAATAATTTGTTATAGAACACTGTTTTCAAAAAATATTACCAGATTGGCCCATGGCTTCAACCAAGTGTTGAATTGTGGCCCCCTTAAATGAGTTTAGATAGCTATTCTGGCAAAAAAAAAAAAAAAAAAAAAAAGTGATATTCCTGCATGAAGTATAGGCTGCACCAAAAGTGCTACAGCTAGTTGATGTTGCTTCTATTTGTGCTTGCAAAAACTCACAAAATTCCATGTAATAACCATGTAAAGTTGATGGTGGTTTTATAAAGCAATTTTGTTTAGTTTTTTAGACTGAAGTTGTTTTAAGGTAACAGCGATTTATTTTTACTTGGAGAAGGCCATTAGCTCATCTGACTGGTCAGAATTAAACTCTATTTCATCAAAAATGAAGTCAATATGATCTATTTGCGACAGGTAATATATAAACTGTTCATAACATTAAAAAAACACTTTAAAATAATTTGAACTGTTCCTTTAATTCTTCCAAACTAGTACAGACTCATTACATCATTCTGTGGAGAGCCATGTTCTTGTTGTGCTGACCTTTTYGCACGCTTGGAAATATATTCTGTCCTCTCATCCATCTGAAGCAGAATGGAAACATGTCTGCTCCAAAAAGTCAAAGCAGGAGCCAAAAGAACAAGAACAAGTTTAAAGAGTCGAGCCAGATCAGCACAGCTAATATGAACACTTCAATCAAACCGTTTCCTTCTCTCAGTGGAAGTCTTAGCGAATAAGATAAAACAGCAGGTCAGTAGGTTTCCCACAAACTGAATAACTGAATGACACGTGCAGTGATTTGTTAATCCACAGGGAAACAGCAACAGGATATCAGACAAAGGCAGCCAGAGAGTGATTTCCTGTCAACATTGCAACAACAAACAAGAGGCTACAGYTTTAAAAAACCTGCTGGATCATGTAAAAAACAAGTAGAGATATTAGTTCTGAAGTTCTGTTCACAAATACTCATATTCAGATGGTTGTTTCACTGAAATCTGGTGCTTTTTTCTTGTCTTCACACTGGAGAGCTAAAATAAAACAGCTGCCCAGCAGAGGATCAGTCTACCTTCTGGTGGTGATTGGTGCGAGGTGACAGGGCGTAGAATGTGCCACAGTCGTGCTTCAGCTCTGTGCACAAGCTGAGCTGATGGTGTGAGGAAAAAGGGGGGCGAGCTGCTTGAAACGTCTCGACGCACATGCTGGACGCCTTAAAACACAAAGAGGGAAGTCAAGATAAGAGGTAAGAGAGAGAGAAATTCATGTTTGTAGACAGACGTGGTCATGGGCGACGGCGTTGTTGTGCATGTTTGACCTTCAGTGACTGGTTGAGTCGAGGCGAGTGCAGAGAGGGCAGAGAGCTGTTGTAGGACAGGAGGCAGGGCTGGTGACGCCGCTCCGTGGAGGCCGAGGAGGGAGACGACAGGCCAGGTGACGACACAGCAGGAGACTTCTCGCTCCTTCCCAGGCTGTTGGACGTGCTTTCTCTTCGTTGGTACTCTATCGGGGACTGGAGGGCTGCAGTGCACAGGAAGGTGTGTTACATCATCTCGAAATCTAGAAGCTTGCCGAAGTCAAAAAGCTGAGCACCGGTACCGTTTAGGAAGTTCCTCTGTGTCTCTAAAATCTGGACCACGTCGTCAAACCATGCTTTTTGAATCTCTGGAGAGGACGTTTGCATGATGAAGCGTGTTACGCTGCCATCAGTCGCCCTGGACGTCAAAACCAGACAGCATGGATCCTCTTCAGAAGGGTTTTCCACACCCAAACAACTGACCTACACACACAAAGTGTTCGTGTAAAACAATAAGAAAAAATAAAAATTGAGGCAAATATTTATTGAGACTACTTTTCCCTCTTACTTTAATACTGTTTTTGAAGGTGTATCCTGGCAAAGGGAAGCCTTTTTTCTTCTCCAGCGGCTCGCTGAAGATGACAAGCTGCTCAAACAGGAAGACCCGCCTCTCCCTGGCTCTGGACAGAAGACCACCTTCCTGCTCGCTGACGGAGAAAGTATTCTGCTGGAGCAGTTTACCCTGAGCTGTGATCTTCCCCTGAAACATGTCGCCCACGTCAGAGTATTTCATAAAATATTATACGGCACAATAAAATGGAATATGATATGCAGGGTTTAAATGCATGATGCTTCTCTAGACTTACATTTCCACAAATCCTGGTCAATTATCAGCACATTTTGAACTTTCAAACTCCAAGTTCATAATTTCATGGCAGAGGCTTTACTTCTATAGAAGTCTGTTTTTTTTTTTTTGTGGCCTCTCACCATTTTGACTAATGAGTTTAAGTTAAACAAATTACAGCTTTCCCCTTCCTTTATAAACAGTTGCATCACCTGAATAATGTCTATGGATGAAACCTACAGGACCTGTCAGCATGTATGTGTCTGGTTTCTAGATCAAAAGCTCCTGACAACAATAAACACAAAACTTGCTTTAGTGCTTCCCAACCTATTTCCTTTTTTTTTTACTTCCAAGCCAAGAAAGAATTTGATATGATACGATTAGATTCAGTGCAGTGTAATATAGTAAAATATAATATGGCAAGATAATAAACARTTTGGTTTGATTCACAGTGATATGATTCAATGCTACACAGCAAGATATAATGTAATAAGAAACAGCAAGTTTCTATACAGTGAAGTTAGATACAGTGTGATAAAATATGGCAAGATCTGCTTATAAATAAAACTTTATGGTCTCCTTGTTGACTTTGTTTTGAACTCAATGCAGTAACGAAAACAAAAATCTATAAATCAATAGACAAAAAATCAAACATACACAATGGGAACATAAATCATCATCATGATACATTTCACAATCCCAATTGAGAAATCATATGAACAAAAGCACAAATACCTCAAAGCCTTGCAGTCTTCCCACATTCATCATRTCATTACAGCGTTTTGGCACAAAACACATCACCTCCACCGCTTTCTGATGGATGAAATTGGAACAACAAAACAGAAAAAACACAGTTTGGTACACACTTGAAATCTAAAAAAAAGGATTTTATAAAAAGGATTTTGTTTCCATAATGGATTATTACCTGCAGCTCTTCAACTTCCCTCCCAGCTTTGCTGTAGTATTTTAAGAAGTCCTGAGGATATTAGACAGAAACACACTTATTTAGTTTTTTAAATACACTTTTAAAGATGGAAGAAATAATTTACATCTAAGACAAAAAAAACATTTTCTGCAACCTCAAATGTAAAGAATGTTCAATGCTGTTTAACAATTAAAGTAAAAAAGTACTTTTAGCAGTAGTTGGTACTTCATGATCCTCTGAACGGGTTTGATCAGGAGGTCGTTGAGCTGCAGCCTGTGACCCAGCTGCTGCCTGAGATCCTGAAACAGAAAAACACATTTTGTTCAGTCCAACAAACAAATTCTAAATTATAAAATGTGTACAGTATATTTCCAGACAAACCTCAAAGTATGTCTCGATGTATTCAGAGACGACATGCTCGGACTTGGGTTTGTTCTGGCAGTAAACTACATACATGTGAAGACGTCGTTCCTGCAAGTTTAACAGAGATAAAGATCAAAATATTCTGAATTGTTTGCTTTTTATGAGTGTAGGTGTGAAAAAAGAGAGTTTCTGATATTTCCTCTGCTTTGGGTTCTTGTTTCCCACCCAAGCTTTTTATATATCTGTTCAGGAAACTGGCTTAATTAAAATGTTTCAATGGATGAGATAAAAGGTTTAATTAGCTGTGGCTTAATTAACCACATGCTGATAAAAGTGGGAGAACTTCACATTTTGAATTGCATTAACACATACTCACTTTGTAGTTTAGTGCCAATAAACTTTATCCACCACACTTTTTGCTGTCGTTTAATGCCTATATCATTTATTCAGCAACTCTACAAAGGACAAAGTCATTTCCTACAAGTTCAGAGTGAGGCAACAAAACAAGGAAAACTCTAAGAAGTTCTGGGAGTGTAATCAAAGTTATTTCCACACAAAGTTCAGTCTTTGTGGATTGTCCTTAATGCTGATTGCAGGCTTTTTTCTTTTTCTGTTTTCTTTTTATTCTCCAGGAAACTACTCACAAAAGCAAACACATCTGCATGGCAGCAGGCCAAAGCTTTAGAGCAGCAGATGATGAAAAACCTCCATTCAAATGGAAAACGTGGAGCGAAGCAAAAGTTAAACTCCTCATAAAATCAAAACTCACGTGTTTGATGAAGAGCTGAGCCAGACTGTCTGGATCATTCACACATTTCTCCAGCTCTCCCAGGAAATATCTGTGTGGCACAAAGCAGAGGTCAGACAGGAACAGTCGAACACGCTTGTGTAAAATGAAACTCGGAGCTCACTCTTTATGCCAGTCATAGATCTGGTGGATGTTCCCAAACACAATCCTGTCCTTCCCTCTCATGTCTTCTGGAACTCCCTGATTGATCATCGTGCTCATGTAGCCCTTTACAAAAAAAAAAAGACACGTTATCAAAAAGCAAAAGAACTTCTAAACCTGAGTAATTTGTTCAGCCATCTCACTTACGTAATTTGATCATTTGTAGAGAAACTTACCCGAACAATGAGTCCAAGATCCTCAACATACAACCGTTCTGTTTCTATCAGCTCTGCGAGAACATATCTGAGAAGAAATTATGAAAAAAGACAGTAAGGATTATTCAGAATGAGTTTAACATTTTGTTCAAACAAGCTAATTGCTTGATGRGAGATTGTGTGCTGCTGTCTTGTGTAAATGCTGTTTACTGATCATATGAAGATATGAGGGAATGAAGGAGGACTACACACACAGATGTGCAAGAGAAACACTTTCTAATGTGATTTAATTTCTAGTGATAGTAACATGAAAACTTTAAGGCGAGAATGCTGATTTACAGTTTTGTTTTTCTGTATTGTATAATTTTTACTCTACTTCCGCATATGTTATGCTATTTTAGCCACTCGTACTATCAACATGTTCAACTGCTACTTCAGCTCCTCCTATGACTTTTATTGTTTTATTTATTTATTTATTTACTTTTTACTTTTCAATATATCTCGGTTCTCTCTTTATTTTTAAAAAACATTATCTTTTTAATTTACTTCAGCAGCTACTTTCTCTGGTTTTTTTTTTTTGTTTTGTTTTTTTGCCAGTTTCAGCTTTTAGCAATTTTTTTGTTACTTTTAACTAGCTTTTTGCTGCTTTTAAAGAGCATTTTGCTACTTTTAGCTGTTGGCTTGCCTTTACAACTTCTATCTACTGCTTTGTCATTTTAACTTGTAGCTAGCTTTTGGCTACATTTGGCTTTTAACTTGTATTTTGCTATTTATAGAATCTAGATAGTGTTTTGCTATTTTATTTATTTAATTTATTGTTTATTTGAATAGGGACAAGTGTCAAACATTAAAACCATACACATACTTTAACCTCTCCCTGGGCTGCCACCATATCGTGGCAGAGAGGCTTGAGTTTCCCATGATCCTAGGAGCTATGTTGTCAGGGGCATGACAGGGTCACCCAAGGCAAACAGGTCCTGGGTGAGGGATCAGACAAAGCGCAACCCAAAGACCCCTATGATGAACACAATAAATGAATAAGTGTTCCCTCGCCTGGACGCAGGTCACCGGGGCCCCACTCTGGAGCCAGGCCTGGAGGTGGGGCACGTTGGCAAGTGCCATGGCCGGGCTGTCGCCCATGGAGCCCGGTCGGGCACAGCCCGAAGAGAAGACATRGGTCCCCCTTCCTATGGGCTCACCAACTGTGGGAGGGGCCGTAGGGGTCGGGCACAGTGTGTGTTGGGCAGTGGTCAAAGGCAAGGACCTTGGCGGTCCGATCCTCGGCTACAGAAGCTGGCTTTGGGGACGTGGAATGTCACCTCTCTGGTGGGGAAGGATCCTGAGCTGGTGTGTGAGGTTGAGAGGTTCCATAGATATAGTTGGACTCACCTCAACGCACTGCTCTGGCTCTGGAACCAGTCTCCTCGAGAGGGGTTGGACGCTCTTCCACTCTGGAGTTGCCCATGCTGAGAGGTGCCGAGCAGGAGTGGGCATACTTATTGCCCCCCATCTTGGTGCCTGTACGTTGGGGTTTACCCCAGTGAATGAGAGGGTAGCCTTCTTCCGCATACAAGTTGGGGGATGGGTCCTGTTTGTGCCTATGCGCCTAACAGCAGTTCAGATTACCCACCCTTTCTGGAGTCCTGGGAGGGGGTGCTGGAGGGAGCTCCTAACGGGGACTCCCTCGTTCTGCTGAGGGACTTCAATGCTCACATGGGCAATGACAGTGAGACCTGAAAGGGCGTGGTTGGGAGAACCCCCCTGATCTGAACCCAAGTGGTGTTTTGTTATTGGACTCCTGTGCTCATCATGGATTGTCCATTACAAACATAAGGGTGTCCATATGCGCTCTTGGCACCAGGACACCCTAGGCCGCAGTTCGATGATAGACTTTGTTGTTGTTTCATCTGATCTGTGGCTGCATGTCTTGGACACTTGGGTGAAGAGAGGGGCGGAGCTGTCAACTAACCACTACCTGGTGGTGAGTTGGCTCTGATGGTGGGGGAGGATGCCGGTCAGACCTGGCAGACCCAAATGTGTAGTGAGGGTTTGCTGGGAACGTCTGACAGAGTCTGCCATCAGACGGAGCTTCAACTCACACCTCCGGGAGAACTTCGAACATGTTCCTGGGGAGGTGGGGGACATTGAGTCCGAGTGGGCCATGTTTCATGCCTCTATTGTCGAGACAGCTAACCTGAGCTGCGGCCATAAGGTTGTCGTGCCTGTCATGGCGGCAACCCTTGAACCCGCTGGTGGACACTGGTGGTGAGGGATGCTGTCATGCTGAAGAAGGTGTCCTATCAGGTCTTTTTAGCTTGTGGGATTCTGGAAGCAGCCGATAGGTATCGGCAGTCCAAGCGGATTGCGGCTTGGGTGGTCGCTGAGGCAAAAACTCGGATGTGGGAGGAGTTCAGAGAGGCCATGGAAAAGACTTCTGTATGGCTTCGAGGCAATTCTGSTCCACCATCTGGCATCTCAGGGGGGGAAGCGTTTCACAACCAACACTATTTATGGTTGGGATGGTGCGCTGCTGACCTCAACTCTGGACGTTTTGAGTCAGTGGGTAGAATACTTCGAAGACCTCCTCAATCACACCAACACGTCTTCCCATGAGGAAGCAGAGCCTGGGGACCTTGGGTTGGACTCTGCAATCTCTGGTGCTGAGGTCGCTAAGGTGGTTTAAAAGCTCCTTGGTGGCAGGGTGTGGGGGGTAGATGAGATTCGCCCAGAGTTCCTTAAGGCAATGGATGTTGTGGGGTTGCGTTGGTTGATGTGCTTCTACAATATCGCGTGGACATAGGGGGCAGTTCCCCTGGACTGGCAGACCGGGGTGGTGGTACCCCTGTTTAAAAAGGGGGGACACAGAGTGTGTTCCCTCAGGAACTCCTGTGGGGGGCACTCTAGGAGTATGGGGTACCAGGTCCGTTGATATGGGCTGTTAGGTCCCTGTATGACCAGTGCCAGAGCTTGGTCCATATTGCCAGTAGTAAGTCGGACTCAGTTCCGGTGAGAGTTGGACTCTGCTAAGGTTGCCCTTTGTCACACCGATTCTGTTCATAAGTTTTATGGACAGAATTTCTAGACGCAGCCGAGGCGTTGAGGAGATCCCTGTTGGCGACCTTAGGATTGCATCTCTGCTTTTAGCGGATGATGCGGTCCTATTGGTTTTGTCAAGTCATGATCTCCAGCTCTCACTGGGGCAGTTCGCAGCCGAGTGTGAAGCAGCCGGGATGAGGATCAGTGCATCCAAATCTGAGAACATGGTCTTGAGCCAGAAACTGGTAGGTTGCCTTCTACGGGTCAGGGAGGAGGTCCTGCCCCAAGTGGAGGAGTGAGGAGTATCTTGGGGTCTTGTTCGTGAAGGAGGGAAGAATGGAGCGGTCGATCGACAGGCGGATTGGTGCTGCATCTGCAGTGATGTCGGCGCTGTACCGGTCTGTCATGGTGAAGCAAGAACTGAGCCAGAAGGCAAAGCTCTCGGTTTACTGGTCGGTCTACGTTCCTACCCTGATCTGTGGTCACGAACTTTGGGTAGTGACCGAAAGTACGACATTGCGGATACAAGCAGCCAACATGAGTTTCCTTTGCAGGGTGTCTGGGGTTTCCCTTAGAGATAGGATGAGAAGCTCGGTCATCTGAGAGGGACTCAGAGTAGAGCCGCTGCTCCTCCACATTGAGAGGAGCCCATTGAGGTGGCTCGGGCATCTGGTTAGGATGCCTCCTGGACGCCTCCTTGGTGAGGTGTTCCAGGCATGTCCCAYTGGGAGGAGACCCAGAGGAAGACCCAGGACATGCTGGAGGGACTATGTTTCTCGGCTGGCCTGGGAACGCCTTGGGATTCCCCCAGATGAGCTGGCCGAAGTGGCTGGGGAGAGGGAAGTCTGGGTTTCTCTGCTTAGGCTGCTGCCTCAGCGACCCGATCTCGGATAAGTGCCAGAAAACGGATGGAACGGATGGACATACTTTAAGCTAGTATTTTGCTACTTTTAGCTTCAACCTACTGCTTTCCTACTTTTAGCTTGTAGCCAGCCTTTTGCTACATTTATTTTTTAGCTATCATTTTGAAATTTAATTTAGGCATGATTAGATACTCGCCTCCTGTTTAAATCAAATAGAACATTTTTCCTGATGTTTTTGGTGACATTTCTTCTTCATGTTTTTATTACTCACAAACTTTTCTCCAAAGCAGCATTTCTCTCGTCCTCGCTGTCCACGGCAGCAGAGCATTGACTGCTGGAGTCCTCAGGCATYGTACAGTTCTCCTCACCAGGCAGAGTGCTAACAGTCTGATTCTGAAACACAAACAATAAAACAAAGGTTTTGATGAAAATCACTAACATAGAATGGGAAATAAACTGGAGGACTGTCAGGGTCTTTGTGGGGCTGAAATTTGATTTGTTTAAAACTCTGGCTTGGATGCATTTCTGGAAGAAATCATGGTTTTTATTCATGAATAGAGTAAAATCATTGATTTCAGCAGTGCAGGTGAGACTGCTGTATATTTGTCAGGTCATATGACACACTGACCCAGGCAAAGAGAGTGGTTTAATAATGAATCCCACTCCTCACCTAAAAGCAGAACAATCCAATGTGAAAATGACTGTAATCCTCTTGGCATACTTTAGTCTCAACACATTTTGTCCTCTGCTTTTATGCACCCGATCTCTAATCCTCCTGTAGAGTTGGTGCAGATCTGTAGGTCAACAACATGCGGTTGGTTGATCTTTTTTTGTGTGTTTTTCAGAGCCTTTCTGTTCACATCGTGACTCAACAGGCATCCTGTCTGTAAGACCAACCTGAGGCAGATTCAGTCTGCCTTTTATCACGAATAAATGAATAAAGACAAACTTGCAGAACTGTAGATTTGCAAAAATTGGTAAGCAGAACATTCATGACCCTTTTTAGCAGTTCCACAGTGAATACTGTGATGTAATTGTCCAAAACACGTAAAAGTCTATAATATGTATAATATGCCTCACTTGAGAAGTAGAGAGATGGTGAAATGTGCTGGTGATGTGCTCTGATGCTATTTATTTTAACAAAATAAGAAGAAAACAGACATGGACATTACCAGACTCTGGGATTCTGTGCTTGGCAGGAGGTCACATGAAAAGCTCTGCTGGGGCGGCAGTGACGGAGGTGGATCTGTGGGACTTTTCCCCTCCTGTCCCAGAATAAAAACACCATTAAAGTCAAGTGTCCACAGTATGAAGTGTTTTTTTTGTACCGAATGAGAAGTCTCACCGGTGTTTTGTGATCAGAAGACAGGAGGATGTAGTTTTTGTTAATTTCCAGAGAACTTTGCATAGTCTCAGTGTGGGAGGCAGGCGATGACTGGTCTTTCCCATCTGGCCTGAACATCTGCTTCTCGGCTTTCCCCGCTCGACTTCTGGGGTCAGAGCTCAGCTTGCGGACAGGGTTGGTGAGCCATTTCTTCAGAGCACTGACAGGGTGCCGTGATCCTCCAGATGAGGAGTGTGAGCAGGGGCTGGTGCTGCCCGAGGCCTGGTGGGCCGCAGATCCCACAGAGGGGGCAATGCTTCCTTCACTTCCCGCCACAGAGTATGACTCAGCTGTCAGAGAGCGGGGAGACCAGAGAACACAAATAAACACAATAGCTAACTGTAGAGTACATCCTTTAAGGTCAGATGTTGCAGAAAGATTTCTGCAGGAAAATGATCTTCAGTTTCCTGTTCTGGGTTCAAACTCTAACTTTTTCATCAGAACTCAGAAACTCAGTTCTATTCTCAGAACTTTGTTAGTATCAGTAAGAATGTTCACATAAAACAAAGATCTGAAGAACACTGGGAAAAAAGTGTTAATATACACGTCCGCAGAGGAAACTCATTTCAGCCGTTTGTATCCGTGATCTCGTTCTTTCGGTCACTACCCAAAGCTCATGACCATAGATGAGGGTAGGAACGTTGACCGACCGGTAAACCGAGAGCTTCGCCTTTCTGGCTCAGTTCCCGCTTCACCACAACAGACCGGTACCGCGCCCACATCACTGCAGATGCAGCACCAATCTGCCTGTCAATCTCCCGCTCCATTATTTCCTCGTGAACAAGACCCCGAGATACTTAAGCCCCTCCACTTGGGGCAGGACCTCCTCCCTGACCCGGAGAAGGCAACCTACCCATTTTCCGGCTCAAGACCATGTTCTCGGATTTGGAGGCACTGATCCTCATCCCGGCCGCTTCACACTTGGCTGTGAACCGCTCCAGTGAGAGCTGGAGATCACAATCTGATCATACGGGAACAATGGGCCTGGTACCCCATACTTCCTGAGTACCCCCCACAGGAGTTCCAGAGGGACACATTTGAACGCCTTCTCCAAGTCCACGAACACATGTAGACTGGTTGGGCGAACTCCCACGCACCCTCCAGGACCCCGCTGAGGGTGCAGAGCTGGTCCGCTGTTCCACGACCAGGACGAAAACCACACTGCTCTTCCTGAACAGAGATTCGACTCGCTGACAGACCCTCCTCTCCAGGACCCCGAATAGACCTTTCCAGGGAGGCTCAGATGTGTGATCCCCCCATAGTTGGAACACGCTCTCTCACGACATTAATTTCAGTTATTCAACGTAGTCTGAATGTATTTGGGTTTGATAAGATAAGCAGCTATTTTCTGTTTAGAAAATCTGAAAATTTTAAAAGAAACTCTAAACCATGTTTACTTTTTAATACTTTAAGTCAAAATTTCCTGTTTATTGTTCACAGAGGTTTTGATTTGTCATCCTCCAGGATTTCTGGAGGGTGTCCAAAGTTTTTCTTTAGGCTTTTTCTTTCTTTACTTATTTTCTGTCCAGTTCCTGACCGTGACAACTTTCTGTGCACAGGAGGACAAAAGAAGTGTCATGTTTAAAAGTCTGTCTAAAACAAACAAACAAGAACTAAAACTCTTAACTTTCAGGGAAAAATATCCTGAACAACTTATTACCTTGAAAGTCCAACCAATTCAAAATGGCCACCACATTTTAAGAAAAACAAAAATGGCTGAAACTTAATGTTAGTGTGGTTGTAGCTGAGAGTCTTTCTCAATACAACCTCAGAGAGCCATTACACCTGGTGAGATGTCACAATAGATCATTTACAAGGTTTAACTGGCTACAATTCCATCTCTTCTCATCATGATTGATCATTGCTTAAAATTTTGGCATGAAGCCCAGCAGAAGAAAGGTTTGCCTTCCAGGACTGCTTGGCCTTTAAGGGATTCACATTAATGCTTTGGGGGAGGGATACTCTGTGGGATAGGAGCTCATCAGGGGACTGGGTTCCAGGGAGGAGCTTTGTGTAAATAGGTGGTGTTTTGTACCAGCAAACGTTTAGGCAGTTCCACATGGCCACAGAGGTTTTCTAAAACTTGCATGAATGAGTCAATGCAACAATCTGGGTTGGTTTTTGTTGAGGAAATGACATCATAACATATAAATAAATGAAAAAAAGTCAATTTTACATAATACTCCCCTTTAAATTGAGATGTTTTGTTGATCGTAGCAAAGTGAAATCAGTCATGAAACCTTTTTTTTTTACATTTTTTATTCTTCAGAGGTCAACACTCTGTGTTTATGTAAGCTTTAATCATAATGAGAGCTTTAAAGAAGCCGATGGAAAACTGGGTCAGCTGTTCGAATCACAGCAAATAGACAAGACAACATACTGATGAAATGCTGATTTCTAATTCTGATTTCTTTTACATTGAGATGATTGATCAAGTAATAAAATGTTCCTATCATTTGGTGTTAAGCAACCTCTTTTTAAACAACTCTGCCAGGTTAAAATGACCTGACAGAGTTAGATTTTTAATTTTTTTTAAACACTTGTCAGGTCATTTCAGCCACTTGTACTGTGTCTATTTTTAAACACATGTGAAATCAGGTATGAAGACACACTCCATTGATGTCCCCCTCCAACAATCATTTTTCAGGTCAATATTAATCCTTGAAAGTTCTTAAAACCACATGTGATTCCTGTAAATATAAAGACTAATGACACCTGTCTGTTCACCAGGTTACAATCAATTCTTRGGAAAACAACACCAACCAGCACTTATTTCAATGTTTCAAAGTCAAAACGTCTGCTGGGATCCTCATTTATGATAAACTTGAATAGATTTTTTTCAATTCAATTTATTTTTTTAAATTTCATGCATAAAATGCTGATTTATCAAGTTTAGAGTTTCTGACTAAAAGTGTAGAGAAAAAAAACAGGACATTTTTCTTGACTGATGCTAAACCTCAAACAGCACTTCATTATTAACTTGGTTGTTCAAAAGGTTTATGTTAAATCTCATAATGTCAAACTGTATTTTCTGAAAGCAGGTTCAGAAATGTTAAAAATATTAATGTTTTTTAGGGAACCATCACATAAACATCATCATCACTAGATACACATTAACACCAAAAATTCTTGCAGGAAAAGTTAGCTTCACAGCTCATATTTATTTACACTTTATAACAAAGTACGGTTTGATCAATTTAAAACTTTTTTTCCAGTAAATATTGGCTCACAYGGAGCTTCTTAATCTACTTAAATAATTACTGTTATCAAGATTCACTTTTTATCTCTAAATCAGTTCTCAGAGATAACCACGGCTGAGAAGAAATGACTCAGCTTATTATGATTGTTTGAAACGAGTTAAACAATGTGTCATGTTTCCCAGAAGCAGTCGGACCACTACCTGGTAAACAGAGAGTATCTGCGGGAAGTGGGTGTGTCATGGAGAACCATGCTGTGAATAAAGTTTTTTATTCCAGTTATTTTGTGTAAAATTTTCCTGCCATGTCAGATTTAAAGCTACATTTCTGTGCTGGACAGTAATAAAATCACAATCTCAGAAAAACTGTTAAAATCACATTTGCAGTCAGGTAAGAGAAACTCTTCTGACATTGTTGGGAATTTTTCCACTTGATCTAATAGCTTCCTCACAATGTCTGCACACACAAAAAAACATTCTCCCTCAGTGCACTTGTCTTAAACACACGAGTGAGAAAATGCATGTCTGTGTCTGTTTATTGAAACCCTTTATTTTGATTTTTGCAGTTCAGGTCCTTTCAGAACCACAGTGAGAAAATGCCTCATGTTATATTAGTTTTAAATGAAAGACTAACTTTATGTTTCTTTTCAGCTGAAAGCTCATTTTGAAGTTCCAGATAAGCGGTCACGAACCTTAAATTTTAAAATTTTTCTTATGAGAAATAAACTCTCCTAACTGAAACCATTCAAAAACTACAGTATCTACAGCAGGTAAGATATTAATTGTTTGCAACTTTTCCAGAGAAACCTACGTTTACATATGTGAACTATCCTTTCATGCTGCTAGAATCACTTCCAGGACCGTGTTGGTAAATCAGCTCTTAAAATGATTCAGTTTGGCACTTGATGTCAGACCTTCATTTATGTTGCATAAGAGAGTTGCTTATCATCAGAGCGTATAATGTGAGAGCGATGAGGGACGAAATTATTATATATTATTCCTAAATTAGCAAAAAGATTTATTTCAAAGGCATGACATTTTTCTGCCTAAAACAGTGATCATTCACTTGTGTCTGTGTGTGCACATGTTTATTTGTCTGTAAAATTAACAAAATAGCTCAGAAATCAGTGGATTTAAAAGGAAACTTAAAAAGTACTAATTTTTCTGTTGAGCTAAACTTTTGTGCTTTAGTAGTTGAGATTTAACTTTTTATACTTTTAGAGCTAACAGATTTTGCATTATTTTTGTTTAAAATGTCATCTTGTAAGGCTAGTTTTTAATTTCAAGTTTTAATGCAAATCAGATCAGTCAACAATTCAGCAAAATAAAACTATTATTTTAGCAAAATCCATTATTAAAGATTTCTGAGCCAACTCTTTCATTCATTTGATGGGTCAAATGAATGTTTATTTCCTGAAATTTTGTGATCATTGTGACAAACGTAAAAATAAAAGATACATTTTTTTTTTTTTTTTTTTTTTTTTTTTTTTGGTGACGCTGTGCCAAATGAAATAAACTCATTGAAGGATCACGGTGCGAGGAAAATAACTTTTTCAGACAGAGAGCTTCACAAAATAGCTTTTGACAATAAAGAGTATTAAAAATTACACAAACAACAGCACAACACAAAGAAAACTAATCTACAAATTCACAAAGAAATGACAGAAAAGAAAAACATGTTTTTGCAGACAAACTGATGCCACATTAAAAGACAAGTTGCTGAAGTTATCCTGTTTGGGTCAGTGGACACAAGTGAGACAGAAGGACATGTCGTCACAAGATTGCATCCATTTTCACATTTCATGTCTGAAACAGGGTTTGTCACGGCGGCGCAGCTCAGAGAGATGATGCTCTGTAATCTCTGCCTGAACAACTGGAACAACAGAGGATTTAAAGGTCGGAGCAGGAGGACCACATGCTGTCTGTGTGTGTGTGTGTGTGTGTGTGTGTGTGTGTGTGAGTGTTTATAGCTGCCCTCTGAGGCAGCATGGGAATTTATTTTCCTCACACCGCATCTCATAGAAACGGGAAGATTATTATTAGAACAGCACAAGAAAATAGAAAAGAAAGCCATAACTGTGGCAAATAAACAAT